AGTTCACATAAAAATTCAAAACCTTTACTGTGATTCTTCCCTAGAGGAATAGAATTGAAAAGCTCTGTTAAAGATATGAGTCCTGTGCACAGTACCTAGCATGTTTTTCAGGAGTGCTTTCAATGTTGCAATGAATAACATGAGCTTATGAGCTCCCGTCTACGGAAATGTGTTTCCTCAGGTTTTACCAGGTTAGGGTATTAAATGAAGACTGCCAGAACACGTGGAGCTTATAACTGTCTTTGGAGTTAATGAAAATTGAGAGCGATGTATAATGTGTAGCTGCATCAATATCGCTTTCACATTGTTACAGAAAAGTCATAACTACTAATGTGCTCCACCCTCCGCCTATCCACACCTTCCTTCAGTGGTTATTAGATACTAGTGCTCTAACAATAAATATTAGTAGATGAATCCTACCGTCGGAATCTTCCAGGTCTGCCTGGAACCTTTAGAAGGGAAGTTGAGGATCCTTAATTGGGATGATTGCAAAGAAAGCTGAGGAATGGACAGTGGCTATGGAAATAGAAAGAAAATGAGAAAACTAGAACTAGAAGTGCAAGAAAAAGATAAACTGAGTCAGAGTCATACAGCACAGAAACAGACCCTTCGGTCCAATCAGTCCATGTCAACGATAATCCCAAGCTAAACTGGTCCCACCTGACTGCGCTTGGCCCACATTCGTCCAAACATTTCATATTCGTGTATTTATCTAAATGGCTTTTAAAGTTTGTAACTGTACCCGCATCCACCACTTCCTCTAGAAGGTCATTCTACAAAAGAACCACTCCCTGGAAAAACAAAGCTCTTTGTACCTTCTGAAATCTTTCTCCTTTCATCTTAAAAATATGCTCCCTAATCTTGAAATCTCCCACCCGAGGGAAAAGATGCCTGCCACTCACCTTATTTATACCCCTCATGACCTTACAAACCTCTATAACGTCACCTGTCAACCTCCTACGCTCCAGTGAAAAAGATCCCAGCCTACCCAACCTCTCCTTGTAACTCAAACCCTCCATTCCTGGCAACATCCTGTGAATCTCTTCTCCAGCTTAGTAATATCCTTCTGTAACAGGGTGACCAGAACTGCTCACCGTACTCCAGAAGAGGCCTCCCCAACATCCTGTACAACCTCAATATAATGTCCTAAATCCTATACTCAAGGATCTGAGCAATGAAGGCAAGCATGCTAAATACCTTCTTAACCACCCTATCTATATGTGACACAAACTTCAAAGAACTATGTACCTGAACCCAAGGCCCTACTTTTAATTGTATAAGTCCTGTCTTTGTTTGATTTACCAAAATGTAGTACCTTGTATTTATCCAAATTAAAGTCCGTCCTCCAGCTCATTGACCTAATTAAACAAGATCTCTTTGTAATCTTAGATTCTTCACTCTCCACTATACCACCAATCTTAGTGTCATCCACAAACTTACTAACCATGCCTTTTGTATTTGCTTCTAAGTCATTTACACAAATGACAAACAAAAGTAGAACCAGCATCAATCCCTGTGGAACAGCAGATGTGTGGAAACATCACTAAGTCTAAAATGGAACAGTTGAAGCAAGAGACATTAGAGATTACTGCAGGCCCTGGTGGGAAGAATCTGACTCATAATTTCAAGTCCAGTGTGGAACTGTTTAAGTTTATGCAGACCCTACAGAAATTTGATAGAAAGGATGTAAAGGCATTCTTCATGTCATTTGAGAAACTGCTAGCTAAATTAATTGGGCTAAAGAGGAATGGGCGTTGAAAATACAAACCAGTTTGACAGGTAAATTGCAGGAAATTTACGCTTCATTGTCAGAGGAGATTTCTTGGGATTATGACACTAAAAAGAAAACTATATTTGCTGTATACGAGTTAGAGCCTGAAGCATATTAAGCAAAGGTTCCAGAATTTAAGGAAACTGCCTAAGCCAACCTCTATTAAATTCAGAACTGTTAACCAAAATAATTTTGACAGATGGATACAAACTTTTGATGTTGAAACAATGTATGAAGCTCTTAAAGAGGTTACTCTCTTTGAGGAATTTAAAAACTGACTACCTTCCATCATAAGAACCCAAGTTAAGGACCAAGGGCTTGCAAGTGCTAGACAGGCACAATTAATAGCCGATGCATATGAACTAATCCATAAAACCAAACCTTTTTTCCGCCAACCCCATACATTTGAAAGGAATAGAAAATGGGAGAATGAAAGGAAAGCACGTAGCCAAAGTAAGAAATGGATAGCTCGAAATGCCCCAATCTCTTCCTCAAATCAGAAGGGAAAGTACTGAGTATGGCAGTGAGAATCAGAAGCTGAGGTGTTTCCATTGTAACAAGGTGGGACACTCTCATTAAAATGCTAGAAGTTGAGGGGAAAACCCTCAAGAATGAGTCCAAAAAGGAAACAGAAGGAAAGTTCAATGGATCAGATTGTCGCTTTAAGTACAACCAAGAAACTGCTGTGAGTGTAGAAGGAGAGATATGAAAATGTTTATCTAAAGGGAAGATAATTCCAAAGAGGCTTCGGTATTGTTGTTAGCTCTTTAACACTTTAAAGTGTGTACTCGGCACAATAACAAGGATCATAATCCACTAGCCTTCATTGAAAAGATTTTAGAAATCGGAATGTGAGACTGTGGATGGAGTCTTTTGTTATGTTCATTTAATTTAAAAATTGTTTATCGAACAGGAAAAGAGAATGTAATTGTGAATGCATTTTCCCGAATGTAAAATGTGGAAGTAAATGAAATGTTTTAAAAATGTTTTAAGATGTATAAGGTTTCCTCATGGGGAAGAAAGAATAAATGGATGTAAGTCCTGTGTTTTGTTGTTTGTACATCCCATGTTTTGTAATGAAGCACATTTTTGAAAGACCATTTTGTATTCTTATTGTATTTTATTTTCCATATCTATTTATTTTTGTGTTTTAAAAACTATGGACCAAAATGAGAGAGAACTGATTTCCAAGGATGGCTGCATGTTTTGAAAATAAAGAATTTGATAACTGTTGCGAACACTGTGTAGCTGCTGGTTCCAGCAAAGTGCAGACAAACTAGAGCTGTCGGGTTGTTTACAAGTAACGCTGATCGGTTGTCAGTGAGCTGAACAGCTTGGATTGTGAGTAAGACAGAGTGAAGCTAGTCGGGCCAGAAGAAAAGCCAGAAGGTCTGCAAAAACCAAAAACACACTCTCTCCATTCTGTGCAATAAGCCACTTTAAACCTGAGAAAACCAGCTTAGAACATAGAACATTACAGCGCAGTACAGGCCCTTCGGCCCTTGATGTTGCGCCGACCTGTGAAACCAATCTGAAGCCCATCTAACCTACACTATTCCATTATCATCCATATGTTTATCCAATGACCATTTAAATGCCCTTAAAGTTGGCGAGTCTACTACTTTTGCAGGCAGGGCATTCCACGCCCTTACTACTCTCTGAGTAAAGAACCTACCTCTGACATCTGTCCTATATCTATCACCCCTCAATTTAAAGCTATGTCCCCTCGTGCTAGCCATCACCATCTGAGGAAAAAGGCTCCCACTGTCCACCCTATCTAATCCTCTGATCATCTTGTATGTCTCTATTAAGTCACCTCTTAACCTTCTTCTCTCTAACGAAAACAGTCTCAAGTCCCTCAGCCTTTCCTCATAAGACCTTCCCTCCATACCAGGCAACATCCTGGTAAATCTCCTCTGCACCCTTTTTCCAATGCTTCCACATCCTTCCTATAATGCAGTGACCAGAACTGTACGCAATGCTCCAAGTGCGGCCGCACCAGAGTTTTGTACAGCTGCAACATGACCTCATGGCTCCGAAACTCAATCCCTCTACCAATAAAACCTAACATACTGTACGCCTTCTTAACAACGCTATCAACCTGGGTGGCAACTTTCAGTGATCTATGCACATGGACACCGAGATCTCTTTGCTCATCCACACTACCAAGAATCTTACCATTAGCTTATCTTTCCTTCAGCCGCTACAGGTTGTGACTTTGAATTGGACGAGTCAGAGACCATTCATAAGTAAACCAGCCACTCTGTGCCTATTGCAAACCAGTGGAAGCATTCAGAAAAAACAAGTTCGAGGAGAAACCTTCAGAACCAGCAAGAACCAACCCAACAGATTTTTTTGAATAGAGAAACTGTTTTTCAGTTTCCCCTTCTGTGTTTGTGTGTGTGTGTGTGTGTGTGTGTCTGTGTCTGTGTCTGTGTCTGTGTCTGTGTGGGGGGGGGGGGGCAATGGCCTAGTGGTATTGTCAGTGGACTGTTAATCCAGAGACCCGGATAATATTCTGGGGACCTGGCTTCAAATCCCACTATGGCAGACGGTGGAATTTGAATTCAATAAAATACCTCAAATTAAGGATCTAATGATGACTGTGAATCCATTGTCAATTTTCAGGAAAAACCCATCTGGTTCACTAATGTCCTTTAGGGAAGGAAATTGCTATCCTTACCTGGTCTGGCCTACATGTGACTCCAGACTCTCAGTAATGTGATTGATTCTGAACTGCCCTCTGGGCTATAAGGGATGGACAATAAATGCTGCCTAGCCAGTGACGTCCTCATCCCATTAATTAATAAAGGAGTAAAAAGGGGGACGTTTATAAGGGGTTTAGAGTTTTAATTTATACAGTTTACTTAATTGTTTACCTGTAGCTAGAACATAATTGCCTATAATATAGTATCCCTTGTTAATTCCAGAAACCTGGCCTTGTTTTCTGTCAAGCTAGGTCTGAGAAATAGGTAGTTTGTGCATTTCTTTAAAGTATTTAACTTTTATGATGACTTCAGTAATAGTGATGCCTGATTCCACTGCAATACTCCAACGAGTCATGACAAGACAAGATGAAATGAGCTTGAAAAGTAACAAAAGTTGCATTCACAATCTGCACCTCCTTCATTAACATAAAATGTATATTTTTCAATAGTAACAAAAAGAAATTATTTCGTATTAGATTTTAAATCTTCTTAAAATTACTCACTAAAAATGTAATTCCCAGGTGTAGCTTCAAACGAAGATTTGCTAGCTCATGGACCTAACTTCGACAATTGTAGCACTGGATCAAGAAGTCGAGGTAAACATTATATAATGTTCAAAATTAGTTGCATCGTATTACATTTGTCTTTGTGATGTTATGCTTGGCTTGCATTTGACATAATTGTTTTGATATATTTTCGCAAACTTCATTGCTCCTTTGCGTTTTTGTCTTTATAATATCTTCACCATTCTTGCCTGCTGAATTGCTTTGCCAAGCGTTTTCAACCTTCATGTTTTCTATTGTGACATCCATTTCTACAAAACGCCCAACCAATTAACATTAGATTTAAAAATGATCAACAGGGCTGGTTTATCCCATTTTCTTACAGCAAGTATAAGCTATGACAATATAAGAACTTATAGCAAGGCTCATTGTAAGAAGTAACTACACTTTAAACCAAAATATTCACATTTACATTAATGCATCCTTTATTTTAAAGGCATTCATTTTTTATGTATTTTGTAACGAGTAAGCTAAGTCAATCATAGCAGTTTAATGATTTAACTAATCACATTAATGGAAATAATATAATCTATCTGTGGTTGAAGTATCAGTATATTTAGAACATAATTCAAATATTTTGCCATATAATTTTAATCAGATATTATTTGTGGATTGAGGAGATATGAATTCTTTGTTCAGGTATTTATATTTGCATTTTTCCAAGTTGTTTTAGCCACCTGCCTCCCCTACAAAATATAGGGCGGAATCCTCTCGGCTGAACAGAGGAAGCTTTGAAAATTGAACCAGGAGCAGGCTTGCAAATAAGGGGTTAGATCAGCAGCCTGACATGTTCACATGTGGGCCATAGATATTAACCCATTGGTGGCGGGGGGAGGGGTCCTTTTCACACAAAAAGGGTGGTGCTTATTGAAATACATTGACAGGAGAATCTTAAGCTATGGTGACAAATCTGAGAGAATCGTGTGAGAATTCCGATGAGCTCTTGTCTGCATCAGGTGCAATAACTTGCATTTTTTGATTGTCTCGGGTGTTGAGATGAGATTGTTGCTAAAGAGTGGTAAAGTGTCGGTTAACCAGGATTATTGCTTGTCATCGTCCTCATTAACAGCAAAGTTTGTCTTATTAATATGCAGCTTTTTATTCTACCACCCATCGGATAGAAACAAAACGCCAAGAATTCCCAACATGAAAGTCATAGCAGGTATCTGCGAATCCAGCTTACAGCTTGCTCCTCGGACCACCACATTGGACGCCTGGTGCTGATATCTCTTACACAGTCCCACGCAGTGGTAACACTCACCCCATGTACGTGGACACTAGCATCTGACACACATCAGCTGCTCAGCACCATCATAACAATTCTGGTGCTAATGGTGCTAGCATGACCTGCATGGCCTTCCATGATCTGCCGATTGCCAATATTGATCTTTTGAATGGAAAGTGGCTTGGACCATGCTTAGAGTGGGTGGATCAAGTGTCAGTTTTATGGTCAAAAACCCTGGGCTCCACTTCTGCACTTTACTGGAAACTCTTTAAGGGGTAGTTGCATCTGTCATGCACGTGCAGAGTTCAGGTTCACATCATATGCAATCATATCATGCACGTGTAATCCATTCATTGTAAGATGTGGGATTCAAATGCTGGTTATAGCTCGTGTAGACGTGTTAGTGGTCCTTGCAAATTGCAGGTACATATCTCTGTGAAGCTGATGTTATCGCAGGTGATCTTAAAAGAGGCATCCATAGTCCACATGTACACAGATAAGGCAAGACGTCCTAGGATGCACAGGAGCACAGAACTGATTACCTGTCCACCTGCACTGTAAGTATAATGGAAGACTCTGATATGCAATTGTGCTTTTCATGAATAATTTGGGGCTGAGGGAGATGGGTATAATCTGCTATTATCTTTGTATCATGCCCAGTGGAGTACTCGTTGAAATAAGGTCCTTTGTCAAAATAGTGAATCGGCCATTCCGTGGCCCTCATCAGAATGCAAAATGTTGGATTCTATGGAGGAGCATGTTAAGCTGCCATTTGTAAGCAATGTGACTGTTGATTATTCCCATTGCTAAACACCTATTCTGTTACTTACGTTTCCAACACAGGTTCATGCCAGCATAACCAATGGATCCAGGCATTTGTGAATGTTGTGATTGCTGCCATGCGACAACATCCACAGAGATGGATCACAGAAATGTGCCAACAAGCCAGGGAGAAGCAGCAAGCTGTAGCAGAAGCCAAACAGCCTGCACCACATGAAGAGGCCACAGTTGAAGGCCATATCGGAATTCATTAGAAGCAGCAGAGTACCAGATTCTTTATTCCTCAATGCCATTTTGGCCTCGTGACCAAGGCATAATGTTAGCACAAGCTCTGGATATCTCGAGACACTGTTCGAGTGACCAATGCTAGCTGCTAGAATGGGATCAGCAACCTGTTAAATGAGTGGCTGTTCTGGCCTGGTAGCTGTCAACATGTCAGCTGTGTTGAATGTTTATGCAACTGGTTCCTTCCCAGAGAGCCACAGGTGACCTGTGTAGGATCTCTGTCATCCACCATAAATGCATCACCAATGCAAGATCACACCTCATCATCCCATCTCATTTCCCCATGACAAGATCAGTGCTACAGCCTGATTAGTAGGTTTCAGCAACATTGCTGGCTTTCACGTGCAGGGCACAATAGACCATACGCACGTTGCACTGACTAGGCCATGTCACAACACAACAGAGTTCATCCAATAGAAAGGAATTCCATTCCATCAATGTGCAAGTGATCTGTGATCATCCGTATCAACACTTTGTGCTTAGTAAGCTGGGATTTGCCACCTCTCTACTTCCTAGAGAATGCTTATGTTGCCACTGCGATTGAGAGTCCAGATGCCTACAAGACTGGTTACTGGGGGACAAGGGCTAACCTCTGCAGCCCCCCTGACTGACATGGAGCAGAGATGCAGTGCAGCCCATTTTACAACTAGATCCAAGATGGAGCATGTGAGAAGCCCACCAAAGATGCGATTCCACTGCTTGGCCCAGTCTAATGGGGCCCTGCATTTACTCCAAACTGAATATGCTGCATAATCCGAACATGCTCTTCACAGCTGGAGCAGACGAGGGAATGTGATGAATGCTGAGGAACTGGGAGAGCAGGAGCAAATTTCTAAGCAGAAGGATGAGAATGTTCAGAAAGAGAAACATACCCTTGTGCATGACAGGGCACAGCTGTGTGGGATGCTACATGTCAGGCAGGACTTAATTGGCATGCAAATCTAGCAGATGAGCTGCATTGAGTGACTGTAAAACACTTGTTGCTTGAAGCAGTTTGTTTGTATTCTGTGAGAGGTGAGGGGGAGAAATGCAGCCTCTGTTGATGTGATTTATGTTCACTTTTGGTTCCTATAAATAAAAATTAATATTATACATCAAATGAAGGCCTTTCTGTCTGCAGTGGCCTGAGAATGAACAATGGTGAATGCTGGGCTGCAGTGGTCTTTGGGGACAGAGTAGTAGTGGCTTTGAGAGGATTGTAAGTTTGCATGTGATTATGAAATGGTAAAGTGTGTGGCCTGGTACTTAAATAGCAATTGGGGTGGGAGTATGAATTTGCACGTGTAATACACTGTCTGTCTGCCATGTCGCCTCTGTGCTATTAGAAGCATTGGGCAATGGCTCCTGTGCTACTATGTTGCATTTGAAGGCAACTCCAGACTGCCATGCATGACCAGAGTCATGACCAGGCCTCCAAAATTATAGCACTGGTAGAGATGCTTATCTGTTCCAAGTTCCCAGAAGTGGTAGGTGGCTAGTGAAGTGAATCTGGGATACTCGTGCATAAGAAAAACTCAATAGGACTCATGGAGAGAAACACCCCATGAAACTCAATTAAAATTTAACCCAAAAAAGATAGCCATGACACTTAGCCAACGATTCATCCCTGATGGCATGTTCAAAATACCTATCTTCAGGAAGGGGAATACTAGGAGCTATCCACTTGCACATAGATTTATAAAGTCATATAGCATGGAAACAGATTCCCTTTGGTCCATCCAGTCCATACCAACTATAATCCCAAACTAAACTAGTCCTATCTGCCTGCGCTTGGCCCATATCCCTCCAAACCTTTCCTATCCATGTACCTATCCAAACATCTTTTAAATGTTGTAATTGTACCAACATGCATCACTTCTTCAGGAAGTTCATTCCACATTCTGTGTAAAACAAAATTTGCCCTTCATGTCTTTTTAAAATCTCTCTCCTCTCACCTTAATATGCCCCTTAGTCTTGAATTCCCCCATCCTAGGGAAAAGACAACTACCATTAACTCCTTTCTAAACTCCTCATTATTTTATAACCTTCTACAAGGTCACTTCTCAACCTCCTGCTCTCCAGGGATAAAAGTCCCAGCCAATCTAGCCTTTCCTTATAACTCAAGCCTTCCATACTTAGGAACATCCTGGTAAATCCCTTCTGAACTTCTCAAGCTTAATAATATCTTTCCTATAACTGGCCAACCAGAATTGGATGCAGTACTCCAGAAGGGGCCTCACCAATGTCCTGTATAACCTCAACATGACTTACCAACTTCTGTACTCAAAGACTGAGCAATGAAGGCAAGCATGCCAAACACCTTTTTAACCAGCCTGTCTATATGTGATGTAAACTTTAAAGAACAATGTATCTGAATCCCTGGGTCCCTCTGTTCTATAACACTACCCAAGGCCCTACCTTTAATTGCATAAGCCCTACTCTTGTTTATTGTACCGAAATGCAATAACTCGCATTTATCCAGATTGAACTCCTATCTGCCATTTTTCAGCCCCTGACCCATTTTATCAAAATCCCTTTGTAATCTTAGAAAACCTTCACTGTGTACTGTGCCACCAGTTTTGACATCGTCCGCAAACTTACTAACCGTGCCTTCTATATTGATATCTAAAGTCAAGCCCTGTTAAATTTCGGAAGCAAGCGATAAATTATTTCTGAATTTTTAAGCAAATAAACATGCCTATTTCACAACTTAAATGCAAAAAATATGTTTCCATCTCTCATCCCTCATTAGAGTTGGTTAGTT